TAAGGCATTTTAAAGACACCACAGTCTCTTCAAATCCCTTCTGAGTTCACTTGCCGAGTTGTGCTGCCACAGAAAGTATTTAAACTTTAAATGCTTGGCGAGTGAACTCAGTGACTTGGCGAGTGAACTCAGCAAGCATTTAAAATTTAAATCCCTTCTCCATTATACCCCATAGGGTATAACGGAGTTGAACAAATTCAGGTTTCACAAATATTTACCTGAATCCCAATACAAAACTGATATTGGTATTAGGGGATATTTGAGATACTGATATTTTCCAGTTCCAATAGACTTGAATCGGGGGGGAGGATGATTTTTCTTTGCACACCCCAGTGGATGCTGCTCTGTTTTTTTCAGAGTCAACATTTGCACTCCATCAAAAATTGTTACCCTGCAATATTTGCCAAAGCCATGCCATGATTCACAGCATGTCCTCAGGCTCAACTACACTATATTTTAACCCTGTTTATTTTATATGATGCTTTTTTTTTTTTTGCAAATGCAGCTTCTGTGATTGTTTGATCAAGAGGGAAAGGAAAGAGAGATGCACTTTAACACTTTCCTCCCCTGCTATTTTCTGCCTAGAAAAAACCTACACTCAACTTGCTTTTACTCTTGCTGAGGGAAAGATCATTATTTGTGTTTTTTTAAACATAAAATGGCAGAAGAAAGGGTTAAAGTCCCTCCCCTCTCTACTTCATTCTCTTCCTTGATCAAACAATCACAGTGGCCACATTCCCATCCATATACATGGAAACAGGAGCATGGGTGGGAAGTTATTGTCTACACCTATAATTACTGGGACTGTCAGAGTACATAACAGTGGACAGTGTCCAGAATGTCAGACTTTGGTTGGTGAGGCCTGGTGTGGCCCCCTAGGGGGCATCATAATTGACTTCCATGGTTAGCAGAGATTCACCATATGCAGCGATGTTCCTTAATTCCCTTTTTATTGGATGCAGCAAAGGCCACACAGGCTTCCTCGCAAGCGCAATTCCTTTCACCCACCTGTTTCTGCCCTTCAAACCTCAGGGGGCTGAGCTGTGCCTCTGCCTTTGAGCATTACTACCAGGCCTATCACAGTCTGGTAGCATTATCTTGACCCAGGCTCCAGTTCCTCCTTCAGGTTCCTCTTTCCTCTTTGCAACTCCTCAGCCTTTCTCAGCCAACTAGATTTCCTGATCTCCTCCCAGTATGACATTGCCCTTTTTATCCCATGCTGGTGAAGCTCAGCTCCACCCCACTCTTCTTAGAGCCTTCTTGCTCTCTTAACCCCTTCCTTGCCCTTCCCCACTCCAGCTGGGTTTCCATAAGGCTGTTACTGTCTTCTCATGAGGTGCCCTGCCCTATCCTGGAGCATTTGCTGCCTTCTGCCCAGTAAGTGGAGCCCCCTCTGGCCTTAGTGCCACACCTGGATGTTCAAATGCCCACAAATTTCACTGGGTAACTTTAGGCCACTTTCAACCTAACCTTCCTCATAGGGTTGATGTGAAGATATAATAGAGGGGAACACCCTATGTCATATATTAGGGGTCTCCAGTGTGGTGCTTATAAGCACCATGTTGCCCACTGTTTTCTTTCCTGGCACCCACCATGTGTTTTAGGAAAGTGGGAAGGGCGAGGTGGGTGTCTTGCCCAGCATGGCTTCTGATCGGCCACTGGAGACCTGATTGGTTGTACAGATTAAAATAGCATTGTTTCAGTGGCAGCAGCCACCACACCATTGGTTATATTCTCTCACTCCTCTTTCCCAGTGTATTTACCCCTCTTTCCCACTGCTCTCGGACTTCCTCTGGGTGTATGTGTGGCTCAGCTTCCTGTGGCACCCATTTTGTAGTTATGCCCACCATCCTGTATCAGAATTCCAAAGGTGCCCACAGGCTTAAAAATGTTGGGGACCCCTGTTGTAAATAGAGGAATGGTTAGGTGGAGCAGGGGTCATTTCCTGCAGGAGCGCACAGGCGTGGAGCTCCGGCAGTAAAGAGCCCAGGGGGCGGGCACATGCAACAAGCCCCACCCCCTGCTCCCAGCAGCCCTCAGTCAGAGCAAGAAGCAGCCAGGTAAGTTGCAGAGCCCCCTCGGCCCCCCGGTCCAAAACAGTCCAGTGACACCTTTAAGATCAAGTTTTATTCAGGTACAAACTCTCCCTCCTCTACGAGGACAGTTCTGCACATCCCCCCCCCAACGGTTAGCTATCCAAAACAGTCCAGTGGAGCCTAAGGGTGGGTGTTGCCTTCTGACACACTTTTGGTGATGTCAGAGGGTGTGGCATATGCAAACAAATTATGCTAATGAGTTATGCTAATGAGCTCCTGCACCTCTTTTTCTATGAAATGACCCCTGAGGTTAATAGAACACTCTCACCATGACAATACGTATGTCCAAGTTAACCACATTGGGAAGGTCTCTGCTGTTGGGAGTTGTTCACCTTCACAGCTAACATATTATGCGTAACAGAGCCAATACTTGTTTTCTGCCAAACACTATAGAGCTGCTTGTTTGGGTCCAGGCAGGCATTTCAGATTTCTCTCAAATGCCTTCTAGGTGCCTATGATGTTTCTCTGGCAGAAAAGTGCTTTCAGGTAGGCCATAAATCAGGGCCTATCCTGCCAACAAAAGTCCCTATGGTCAAAGCAATGGTATTCCCAGTAGTCATGTATGGCTGCGAGAGTTGGACTATAAGGAAGGCCGAGCGCCGAAGAATAAATTCTTTTGAACTATGGTGCTGGAGAAGACTCTTGAGAGTCCCTTGGACTGCAAGAAGATAAAATCAGTCAATCCTAAAAGAAACCAACCCTGACTGTTCCCTGGAAGGCCAGATAATGAAACTGAAGCTCAAATACTTTGGCCACCAAATGAGAAGGGAGCACTCACTGGAGAAGGCCCTGATGCTGGGAAAGATTGAAGGTCAAAGAAGACGGGGACGGCAAAGGATGAGATGGTTAGACAGTGTCATAGATGCAACGAACATGAAGTTGAGCAAATTTCAGAGGACGGCGGAAGACTGGAAGGCCTGGCGTGATCTGGTCCATGGGGTCGCGAAGAGTTGGACTCGACTGTGCGACTGAACAACAACAAAATCTATACATTTACATGAATGGGTCTCTGAACTCGGATAATTTTCTAATGTTTGAAACAGCCCTAAGAGAATTACAATAGCATTATATAGAGTGAGTCCTTTCTGCAGAAATAATGAATAGGTAGAAGAAGCTGATTAGAAGACATTCCTTCCAGGCAGCCATTAATTACCAAAGCAAGCTTTCCTTTCCCCCTCAATCTTCATGGTTACCGGAGATAGAAAATGAAAACAAACAAAGGCAAAGAGAATTTAGCACAAAGTGATGCATGTAGAATTGGTATGCATAAGACACTTCCGGAGAATCAGCACACAGCAAATTAGCTGGCCATCTCCTGGCGTTCCACTTAGCTTTTTAATTACAGATGGGGAAGAATATTTCCTTCTACAATGATACAACGCCATTTCCATTATGAATATAGGCCTGATGAAAACAGCCACTATCACCCACAACACTCTTCTTATGGCTAGCTTATAATGGAGAAGTCAAAATGTCACTGAATTAAAAAAAACACATACACACATACCTTCTTTCTGCTTTATCTTCTGTGATAAGAAAACCAATATTTCAGGAGAATAGCTCAAAAATGCAATCAGCATGAAGCCAGGGATTCATCACATTTAGCTCAAGGGAAAACCTTTTCTCCTTGAGTCACTTAATCGGTTGGACAATCATCCATTTCAAAGGAGCAATTTCTTAACTCCTTTTATCCTAAACATACCTTTAAAGGGACATTCCCAGATATGATGTTAATAACATTGAGGAGACATATCTGAAGAAGAGAATTCTAAGACCACTGAGTGATGTGTTGCGAAGACAGCACTGTTACAGCAATGTTGTGCACATGCTCTGAGAAGCACGCATACATGCACCACATAATAATTTATTTTTCCTTGATGGCGTGTTGTACTGTACAAATCCATTGCACTCCAGTGCCTTTCAAATATAGACAGAAGGCCAGGGAAAGGACTTTAAATAGTATGATTGTGGCTTGTGGATTTCATGGGGGCCCCAAACAGAGTGAAATAATAAAATGTGCAACATCTGCATTAACTATCTAATAAAGTGTTCTTGAAATAAGCTCCTTGTCTATTGCAGAAAAGAGGGACAATTTAAACTGCAACATTATTAAAGTAGCAATTTCCCAACATCAAAAACGGTTTTGCAGACTTCACAGTAAGCAAAGTATGTAGCTTGTTGCATCTTAATTCTGGATTATTAATCGACAGAGGGCATGATTCAGTCCATTTTCTAAAAGAGTGCTTTACATAGGGCATGATTCATAGGCCTTTCATCCTCATCCCCCATGCTCACTGGTGCTGCTCCATGCACACAGCCTCTGACACCAGCCCCCCCCCTTCAAGTAGATAGTTGAACTCCTTGGAGAGCTGAGGGTCCAAGTGGATTGATCTCAATTTTTTAAATTATCTCCTTCAGAGTATTTCATACTATATTCCAATTACTGTAAAGTCTTCTTTTACCCTAATCTTGGGTGTGCCATAACCAATGTCATGCAGAAGCAGCTGGGAGAGGGGACTTCCTTATATCATCACTGGAAGAGACAGCATCAAACAGGCAGTCCTTTCAGAAGAAATGTTTAGTCTGGGCAATGCTCTGAATCCTAAAAGAGGCACCAAATTGGAATGTTTGTATGGAGCTGCTACAATAGAAAATTATTGTGTGCTTTGTTTTAGGATAAACTAAGCTGTAGAGAACTATCTGGGGTGCAATATGAAAAAATCAGTTAATAATTATAGGAAAATAGGAAAGGACTGGGTTTAGGTTTTTCATGTTCTATCACTTACCATATGCACTTTATTTAGTTCATTCTCTAAAAGAGTTATTTACTTTGCATTTCCCCCCAGAGAAAAGAAAGCATGATAATACTTTGTTGCAATTCACACTCAACATAAAAAAACTTACTTGCTTAAGTTTCTTTAGGTCTTCATCGAGTTCCAGGTTGTCCAAAATAACAGCAACGAACAAACTCAGCAGAATCTACAAAAGAATGGGGAAAAAAACTACTGACAAAACAATCGTTTCCTCATGGAAGTTAATGAGAATTATGCAGGTGATGCCAAGAAGATGGGGTTTCATTTTCTGCTGGACTGTGGTATGTCCTGTGCAATAAAATGGTACACTTAATGTACATTGCATTTTGCACTGTTTGGTTTCACTTGGCCTCTAGCCTATGCTTGATGTGATCTCCACGGAGTTCCTGTTCCTTCAATACCTCTCAGTGCATGGCTTATACATTACAGGCCATTCCAGTGAATGGCCCTTTTGCGTGCAGCAATTTATCCACTCCATTCAGTCAACTTGCATGAAAAGCTTGCCTAACTTGACGGAACACAGGAAGAGACCCTGGTTCAAATCCCCACTCTGTCATGGAAGCTTGCTGAGTGACCTTGGGCCAGTCATGTATTCCCAGCATAGCCTGCCTTACGGGGCTATTGCGAGAGTAGGACAGAAGAGGGGAGAACAGCCTAAGCCACTTTGGGTCCCCACTAGGAAGAAAGGCAAGAAATAAATGAAGCAAATAAACAAACTATGCCGGTATAGTGTTTGCTTGGGCGGCATAGGGAAAAAAAATGGATCCCTTAGGTGATATGTGGATTTGTCCAAATGGAGGAGGAGGAAGAGAGATTGGATTTATACCCTGCCCTTCACTACCTGAAGGAATCTCAGAGTGGTTTACAGTCTCCTTCCCCTTCCCACAACAGACACCCTGTGAGGTAGGTGGGGATGAGAGAGCTCTTTCAAGAACTGCTCATGAGAGAACGGCTCTGTGAGAGCCTTGACTGACCCAAAGTCACACCAGCAGCTGCATGTGGAGGAGTGGGGACTCAAACCCAGTTCTCCCAGATTAGAGTCCGTGCTCCTAACCCCTACACCAAACTGGCTCAGAGAAGAATCATATCAGGAATATTTATTTGAAAGGGGTAGAACATGAACTGGGAGCTGCACATAGGGTTGCTCTTGAGATTGAAATAGAGGGATTGAATGATGGGGGATGTGTTCATCTATTGTGTGTAAGAACTGAATTTCTGAGCTATAGACCTATAGTCTTCCAAGAAATTTCACAGTGGTTTCCTCCGCAGGACTTTGCCATCACTTTGCCAGCATCTTCCCATTCAACTGAGGTTCAGGTTTTCGGTCCTACCACACAAGCAAAACAGAAGCATGGAAAATGGCAGGGCTACAGCCAAGAATTTGGGATCTTCAGCTGTGCATTCAAAAAATTTCAGGAGTGGGCAAACCCTCCTTCAGATAAAGAAGAATTCCCTTCAGCAGGGCTAGTTTTGGGCAGGAACGCACAGGAACGGAGTTCCGGCTGGCTCCCAAGTTGGCCACGCCCAGCAGGAACTCATTAGCATAACAGGCCACACCCAACAGCAGAAACTCATTAGGATTGGTTACATTACGGGTGTGTGGCCTAACATGCAAAGGAGTTCCTGCTACAAAAAAGGGCCCTGGGTTTTGACAACAAACAAGGTAAACAGAATAAGAAGCAAAAGGTGGGTGTGGCTGGATGACCACACTTCTGGTAACATGGGGGGTGCGGCCTAATGTGCTAATGAGCTGTGCTGTCAGGGATGTGGCCCAATATGCTAATGAGTTCCTGCTGTTGGGTGTGGCCTATTATGCTAATGAGTTCCTGCTGGGCTTTTTCTACAGAAAGAGCCCTGCGCCCTTCAGTACTAAAAATGGTTTTACGTGTACTCAAAAGGCTGCAGGAAAGCAGGGGACAGGGGAAGTAATGTTCTAGTAAGGGAAGAAGAGGTTGCAAGGACAAAAATGTCTTCCCAGCAACAAAGATCACCTTCACCTGAATCGCTGTGCTAGCCATGAAAGATGCATAATGGCATATGAGAGCTTCGATCCATAACAGCTCTTCCTGCTTGTCTCTTCTTCCCTGATTGGCTCATTTTAGAAGGCAACTGGAGTTGAACTATTTTATTGGTTTGTTTTATTTAATAAATCCACCAATCCTCCTGCACACGGGAGCAAACTGCATTTATGCAACTTATTATTTGTATATCAAAAGGTGGGAACACTTTAAAAAAAACAAAAAAGATTTTAAAAAAAAGAAAATTGGCAGCATATTTTGCAAACACAGTACTTCTCAAAAAAGGTCTTTCAGATTGTACAATGAAAAATTTGCAAAAAATTCACCTCAGGCCTATTTCCGACTGCGTCCCTAAGTATAATCATAATTAAAAGCTGATTTTTAAAAAAAAATCAAGAAGTTTAGCAGTACCTGGTCGTTTAATCTGTGATCAGCTCCCATCTCTTAAGCTGAGAATGACAGGCACACAATGAAGATTTTCACAAAATGCCAAAAACAAATCTAGAGTACTGTCACAAAAGAACATTTAAACCTCAACTTATTGTTTGTGTAACTTCCTCCATTCCCTTTCTGATTTTAATAACAGACTTCACTCCTAACACAGTTTTTTCCCCAAGCTTAAATTCTATTCCAGCTTCTGCTGTGAAAGCTATTCATTTCTCTTTGGCTCTTCACAGGCACCGTTTCCAAGTGCATACAATTAGCACTTCTGACTAGCTCTACCCTTCCTTCTCATTCTGAGCACTGGAACTTATCATTTTCTGCAACCTTTGCTTGATCCTTTATCCAGTTGTCACTCTCACTACCTATTCTTAGGGCTGTGTATGAGCATCGTATTTGGGGGGGGGGATCCATGGGAGCTGTTCTCTCCTTAAGACAACAGGGGAGCTAGCCCTGTTTCTTCAACAGTGGTCAGGATCACTGTACAAAAATGAAAGAGTTGTAAACATCATTACATCTAGCATAGTCTTGCAATGTGTGAGGTAAAGAAATTCATTACTTTTTCTTAAGAGAGTTATTCTCCAGAGATGAATAGAAAATAATAAAATAAAGGAGATCTCAAAATGGAAGAACTTTTGTACTGTGTCCAGTGGGTAGATGTGTTGGACGGAAGCAGCAGAACAATGTTTGACTCCAGTGGCACCTTCAAGACCAACAAAGTTTTATTCAAGGCATAACTTTTCCTGTGCCTGTAAACCTCACCCCAATCACCCCACTTCAAAGAAGAACATGCTGTAAAGTCACCTCCATGCTTGAGAGGAGACGTAATGACAGGGTCTCAATGAAAAACTCTCAGCATTAAATAATTGATTATGTATGTGCCCATCCGCCTCCAATTCGACATATTTATTGTCTTAACTATGTTTTTCTCCCCCAGAGTTGAACCCAAACAAATGGTACCATATAAGCTATGCTTGTTATTCCTTGAATCTGTTAAACATCTTCATTATGTTAACTTGCTGCTTTTACTTTCTATCTCTCTGTGTGTGGAGTGGTCACTTCCATTTCACTGTATCTGAAGAAGTGTGTGTGCACAGGAAAGCTCATACCTTGAATAAAACTTTGTCGGTCTTAAAGGTGCCCCACTGGACTCAAACTTTGTTTTTCTACAGTGTGTGTGTGTAAACTGCCATCCTGTCACATGTTTTCTATTCTTGCATACTGATGGAATTGAATTTTTAACTGTTTTTATCTATTTTGTATACTGTATGCACTCTGTGCCTTGTGTAAGCCGCCCTGAGCCCGTTCGTGGAAAGGGCGAGATATAAATACAATGAAATAAATAAATAAATAAAAATAAACTGAATTATGACAACCCCAGCCAGGGGCTTTGGAGGCAAGTGAGAAGCAGAGGTACTTTGCCATTGCCTTGCTCTGCAGAGATGGTGGTCTCCCATCCCAGTACCAACCCTGCTTAGTTTCCAAGATCTGACAAGGTTGGGCTACCATGCTGCCCTCCCTCCTTTGTACATGGTAGACTTGCAGCATTTTTTTCTTTCTATGGGCTAGATTGGGGATCCCCAAGCTTACTCAGCCTATAGGCATTCTTAGAATTTTGAGGATATGGAATGGGTGCCACCACAAAATGGCTGCCATGAGGTGCCAGAGGTCAATCACAAAATACTGGGAAGGTGCAAGTCAAGCAACCTCCTATGACAAAGGCCATGTTTTCTTCACGAGTGTTCTCTGCTGACACAAAGATTATGCCTCCATGGCTGTTCTGAAGCACTTCCTGCTCCAGTGGAGTGAAGGAAAGCCAGGATAGAGAAGATATGTTTTGTTGAAAAAACAGACAGGCATCTGGAAACCCACCATCAGGTGCTATGTTGGGGGGGATCACTGCACCTCATGAACACTCGTGATAAAATAGATGAGCAGCACTCATAGTTTCCCAAACTAAAAAAAAAAGCAAAACTAAAACTTTTAAAAACATCAAAACAATTCAAAATAAGCACCTATACCAGAGACAAGTGCTTCCCCTCTTTAGGGATGTCGTGGACACTATAAGTAGGTACCAATGATAAGCACCTAAACACATAGATGGTGGCAGGGCTATTTTTGGGCAGGAACGCATAGGAACGGAGTTCCGGCTGGCTCCCGAGCTGGCCACGCCCAGCAGGAACTAATTAGCATAATAGGCCACACCCAACATCAGAAATTTATTAGGATTGGCTACATTAGGGGTATGTGGCCTAACATGCAAAGGAGTTCCTGCTACAAAAAAAGCCCTGGGTTTTGACAACAAACAAAGTAAACAGAATAAGAACCAAAAGTTGGGTGTGGCTGGATGACCACACTTCTGGCAGCATGGGGGTGTGGCCTAATATGCTAATGAGCTGTGCTGTCATGGGTGTGGCCTAATATGCTAATGAGTTTGTGCTGTTGGGTGTGGCCTGTTATGCTAATAAGTTCCTGCTGGGCTTTTTCTACAAAAAGAGCCCTGGATGGTGGTGGAAAGTGCTCTCAGATCACAGCCAACCTATGGTGAATCTGCAGGGTTTCCAAGGCGAGAGGCATTCAGAGGTGGTTTGCCATTGTCTGACTCTGTGTTATGATCCTGGTCTCCCATCCAAACACTAGCCAGGGCCAACCCCACTTAGCTTCTGAGATCTGACGGGACTGAGCTAGCCTAGGCTATCCAGGTCAGAGTGCCTCTATCGTGCTAAAATAAAAGTTGTGAAATTTATTGTGATTTATTTCTTTTATTCTACCTTTCTACTTGAAAAAGCCTTACCAATACACTAAAACAAACTTGTTAGTACCTCTTAATAATAAAACAAGATTAACAATGATGTAGACATAAAATGGCAGCTTAAAACATATGTAAGCAGTAAAAACTAGCTGCTATTAAAGGGCATCTAAAAGACAGTAATGGAGGAATCAGGCAAAGCTGTATTTGTGAGGGAATTCCAGATCAAAATTCCTCTCACTTGTAGCTATCTGCCTCACTGCAGAAGATACAGATCCTTGAGAAGGGCCTCAAGCAGATTATCTCACCTGTCTGGCAGTTTCCTATGGAAGAAGGCCGCCTTATCTACTACTTGATCCTATACCATTCAGAACGTTATAGGTTAGAAGCAGGGCTTTGAAATGATCCCCATAACAGACTGGAACCCTGAAGAGTTAAAAGCATCGAAGAGAGATGACCCCCCCATAGCAAGTCCCCCATCTGGCTGCCAAATTCTGAACCATATGAAGTTTCTGAATAGTTTTCAGTGACAGTTCCTACTAGAACACATTGCGGTAATCAAAGGGAGATGTTACACTATCACAGTATGAACATCTGTCGAAAGATCAATCTCTTTCCAAACGGACTCAGCTGGAACACCAAGTGAAAATGGATGTCATTTCTGAATCCATCATCAGAGCTGGCTCTAGAGGCCCCCCCAAGCTTTGAACTTAATACAGGCTAAACACCATGAAAATATGGAAAGATGAAGGGGTCCTCAACTAATAGCACTGTGTTTCATGTTACTAGCCCTCATCCACTCCATAACAGACTCCAAATTCACATTTATGACACTCACAATGACATTGGGATCAAATTAAAGGGTTAAAATGAAACCTTATCCCAATATAACCTTTAAAACAGCTAAACCAATCTATGCTAGACTCTCTCACTATAGTCCCCAATCTACATCTTATCTGATCAGAGACCTTGCCTCCTGGGATGCAGAATATGCCAAGAAGAAAGGTCCAGGAAGCAGCAAGGGACCCGTGAAAGTATGGCAGCTCTGTCATTTGTAGAGAAATTTTGGATATAGCAGCCACAACTCCTGAAGCACTAAGGGAACCCTTAAAAACTGCCATTCCAGTTAGGTGGATGCAAAAGAAAAGAAAACGTTGGGACCCAGGACTTTTCCTGGTAACACCCTCTCCCCCCCCCCCCATTTCCCCAAGTTCTCTCATTGGTTGAGTGGAGACTGACAAGGGACTGAATCCAGTATATAGAGAGACAATGGTTCCTAAACAAAGCTCAATTTATTCCATTATACACTCTTAAGACAGAAAACACTTGGTAGCATTTCAATATTCAACACAGAATATTTCAACCCAATACTTAAAACAGTGTACTTGCATAAAACTCAGAACGTTCCGAACTAGCCACCAAGGTCTCACATGGAGCTGTTGATGGCCAGCCCCGACCTTTAGTAAACCAGAGAGATACATCTTTCTTGGACCTATAGCTGCTAATGTACCGACTGATGTACCTATCACGTAGGACTACCATGGATATGAGACAGGCCCAACTGGAACTGGCCCTGAGGTACTGACCCAAATTTATCCTCATCTTTCTATCTCTGGGGTTGGGAAGCTCACAGAAATTTAAGGAGAATCAAAGATTCAGATATCCATTTTGATTCGGATACTGACACCACTAACGTCTGGAATGTATAAGCGTTCTCTAAGGCAAAAATCATGTAAGGAGTTATCCTGTACCAGAAGGCCACAGCACCAATAGAGTTCTGAAACCTACTGGGAAACCAAGCCAAAGATTCAAATATAGAGGCTATTTACTATAAAAACTAAAGTATCATAGGTTTAACAGAGGACTGGAACTAAGTCCAGGCCCTGATTCCGTGACAAAAAGAAAAAAGAAAAAAAACTTTTCATGTTTAGCATCCCCTGGAAAGATGTCTATTTATTGTCCAACAAGGAACAAATCACACAGTGATCGAAACCCAACAAAGAGAAGAAAGACACCTTAAATAAAACCTTTATTCATACACCGTATTAACTGTTAGTTTGTTCTGTTAGTGGGCATGCTGTAGCATAATGACATTTCTCATGTGCTCATTTGGGCATCATACAACAGGAAAGCATTGTAATACATTCTAATTAGCGGTTGGTGTCCTGAAGCTTTTTAATGCGTCAGCCTTCAGTTTAATTACAGCTAGGGGAAGGATGAAATCAACTGCAGAGTGTCTCTACATGATAAGTGTAAGTTCCTGCTTCACTGTGATCCCTGACCAGGAGAAATGCTCTTGGTGGTTAACAACTATAATATTAGCTTATGAGAAGAAGTACGGCCTTCTTTAAAACCTCATTGTTATGCTGCAACTAACACTGTGCTACCATATGCCACAGAACCAAAGTCTAGATCTACATCAGAGAATTAAGAGTTTCCCTGCTCCAGTAAAAACAACCCATAGACAGAAGGAAACCTTCATGTGCAAATTCCCCCCCCCCTTATTAGGCTCCTACATCTAGAACCTAAGGGATGTATGGAGCTCCACTGACTTAGTATGGAGAGCCAGTTTGGTGTAGTGGTTAAGTGCGCGGACTCTAATCTGGGAGAACCGGGTTTGATTCCCCACTCCTCCACTTGCACCTGCTGATGTGACCTGGGGTCAGTCACAAGCTCTGGCACAGCTGTCCTTGAAAAAGAGCAGTTGGTGTCAGAGTTCTCTCAGCCCCACCCACCTCACAGGGTGTCTGTTGTGGGGAGAGGAAGGGAAAGGAGTTTGTAAGCCGCTCTGAGTCTCCAAGTGAAGGGCGGGGTATAAATCCAATCTCTTCTTCTTCTTCTTCTTAGTTTGTCATAACAATGGTACTCACTCCACAGCTCATGGAGAGCCATAGTCATAATTAACATCAACCCAAAGAGCCAAGTTTACACAGAGTCAGCTCAGAGAGTCTTGTTCCTTACCTGTTCCTCTGGTGGTGGGTGTTTCAAGGTAGCAACCACTTGCCAACCACAAGTCTCACCAGGCAAGGAATTTGCCCATGTTCCTGAAACATTCAGCAGGTGCCACACTGGGCAAAGGTGCTCAGAACAGCCACAGGTGGCATGTCAATAAGCCATATATGTCTCCTGAGCCCCAGACTGAGTATCTCCCATTTATAAAGTTGGGTGTCCACAAAAGTCCTTAGCTCAAGTATTAGGAAAAGGTCTGATAAACCAAAAGATTTACACTTACTGCCACAACACAGACAGAGAAGTGGTCAAATTGGATTTTTGGTAGTCAAAATGGATTTTGGTTGGAAATGAGTTATATAGTGCTGCTTTTACTGCTTTTACCTGGGTAAAAGACAGAAGATATAGCTCTGCCATACCATCTCTGGACTTTAGAGGACAGGCAAGAATGTACAACCTTGTTCTTTCTGCAAATTTGTATGTATTGGGGGACAGAACTACCCTTTTTACCACTCCCCCAAACAGGAAATCAGCAGTCAAGGCCAATGAGCAAAGACAGGCAAGTCACAGTAGAACTAGATTTTTCAAATTGGCAAATTGGCTTCTGCCAGGCTTATGAGTAGGAGCCGCCGCCACTTCAATTCCACCACCGATATGTTTGCAGCATCGCACCACTACCACTAATATGTGGTTCCATCTGGGTGCGAGGTGACCCTGGAAGGAGAGGGTGCTGACAAGTTGTGGGACCAATACCATTTGAGGAAGAACTACCCCATCTTGCACTGACACTTTGTTGTTGTACTGTATTGTTTTATGGTTTTAGACATAATAATAATAATAATAATAATAATAACAACAACAATAATAATAACAACAATAACAACAACAACAACAACAACAACAATAATAATTCGCTGCTCTTAACTACTACACTACACCAAACTAACTAATGGGAATGGAGATGTTTAGAGAGAAATTTGCAGAGGAAGACCACCAAATGGAGGGATAATTATGAGCCATGATGGTTGATTCTCTCCTACAATTCCCCCCTCCCCCTCAGCAGCTTTACCTTTAGCTGGAGTTATCTGCCGTTTTGGAGCCTGTCAGGTACCAAAATTAATTTAAAATAGCCTTGTGGTCAGCTTTGCAGGGGAGAACTGTTCAAGGAGAACGGTTAAGAGCTCTCTCTCGCCAGCTGATTCTTCCTGGCAAGTTTCTCTCACTCACACTGGTATAACAAGGGAAGCACGGAGTTAGGAAACGCACCAACAGAACTTCATGGGAACCAGTATGAGAAATATTTTGAGAGCACAAACAACAGAATATCGAGCAGAAATGCTGAACAGTATGCAACTTACCAGAGTAGCAAAAAGGTGATAAAGTATGAAGTAAATAGCAACAACAGGTGCCCACATATGCCCTACAGCATTAAGGGTTTGATCCATGACATCTACCCATCCTTCCTGAGTAAGTATCTGGAACATTGACATAAATGCCTAAAAGAGAAGACAATCAAATGCACAATTAGATATGTTATAGTGAAACCAGTGAGTAACATACAATCAGTATTTGTGGTGTGACAACTCTGTTGGCCAAGATGATGATGACCCTTGGGTTTCTCTATGAATGTAGTGAAACTAAAGTTCAAGTATCTGTTATACTCTTTAAAGACTTCCGCTTCCAATCAATTCTGATTATTTTGTGGGGAGTTATTCTGATGCTTTTCCCAATATATCATGTTGCAAGCAGGAGGCCTGCAAAACTTGCCAGGAGAAAATCCCACTCCCTCCCATCACTGTTCAGCATGACTCCCTTGGAGCCCAGCAGTGATGTCTGGGAGGTGCTCTGAGCCTGGAGAGGCTGCTGGGCTTTGCTGCTGCTGTGGCTTGGAGTGGCTACAGGGCTCCACTGCAGTTGGGCTTGGAGTGGCTCCGGGCTCCACTGTAGCCACGGCCAGGCCTGCCAGTAGCTCCCAGACGCCACCATCTCCATGGCTGGGCCCAGAGCGGCTCCCAGGCTTGGAGCAACTCCCGAGCTCCACTGTGGCCATGGCCATCTGTCTGGCAATTCCCGGATTCCACCGCGATGGCTGGGCCCATCAGCAGCTTTCATGCTCTGTTGCTGCCACAGCCACCACCACGGTATGCTGGGCCCTTCTCCAGCTGCTTTACAGTAAGTGTGTTGTCTGTGCATGAGCAGATGCTTTATTTAATTTTGGGGATTTGACCCCCCCATTTTTTTTTTAATGTTTCAGATTTTTGTGCTAACCTAGGGGGTCCCCCAAGTTTACAGAAAAATCTGTTTGGGGCAAGTACGGCCCTGATCCCTAGGTTTAGCCATCCGCAGATGGGAGCCACACTTGTGAAATAGATATATAGATTTGTATTCATTCTCCCAGAATCCCAGTTAAGTTTTGAATGTCATCTTTAAGAGCTTTCCTCTTTCTAGCAGAGCTATATTTGAGTCTAGTAGCACCTTAGAGACAAAAAGTTTTTTTTGGGGGGGGGTATGACCTTTGAGAGTCATGACCCTTTGTCAGACCTCTGATGGAGGGAGCTTTGACTTGCAAAAGCTTCTACCCTGAAAATCTTGTTGGTCTCTAAGGTGCTCCTGGACTCCAGTCCAGCTCTTCTGCCGCAAACCAACATGGCCGCCTTCTGAAACCATCTTTCTAGCAACGTCTCAGAACTTTCCAAGATCTTTTCTGCTCAACTGAAAGTGAAGGGTGGGCTTTGAAATGGATTCTGCCAGACTAACTTTTACTGTCATACCACACATGGCACCGAATAAAACCTAGAGTCTAATTCAGGAGTTTATATTTTATCCTCTTCTGGAGTGACAAACTGCAGTGAAATTCAGTCATGTCAAGCCCGTTTTTTCATCCAAAAGTAAATTCTGATTCAAGAAGATCTAAAATCTCTTTTTTAAAACCAAATGCATGATTCTTCATCTCCCTTACAGATAACACTGACTAAAAGACCAAACTATAATATGGAGGATCCACTTGGGGAAAGGCTAGTTTTGATCAGAGTAAAGCCAGTGGTGAAGGGGGAAGTCTCCCCCTCATAATGTTTGAGT